ACCTGACAGCAATCTGGACTTCCACGGAGGGGTCGTAAAGCACCTCATGAAGTTATTACTGACTTGATTGTTCCGCTCACTCAGAGGTCACCAACCTTTGTCGGCAGACCGGAGGAAAAGGAAGAAGCATTTTACATGCGTTTGTACGCATGCATGGGGCTGCGAGCACGTGCGTGCGCCACAAATGGGGCGGGGCTAGGCCTGCGTGATACTCACTAGCCCTGCCCCGTTCTTGTGTGGCGCAGCACAAGAACGGCGGCGTCCGTTTTTGCGCCCTGCGATGTGGCGATGTCCCGTTTTTGTGCCCCGAAGCACGTTGTCCCATTTTTGCGTCCTAAGGCGCAGCGGCGGCCCGTTTTTGCGCTCTGTGGCGTAGCGTCCTGTTTTTGCGCCCCGCGGCCACGGCGCTAGCACAATGAGGGGGTATGTGCCAGCAGCCCACAGGTTGGGGACCACTGCTCTCACTCATTCAAACTGGAACCGCCTGCCTACTGTGTTTCGTTGAAAATAAGACCGGGTCTTATATTATTTTTTGCTAATTTTAGGACTTATTTTCCAGTTAGGTCTTATTTTCGGGGGAAATACGGTATTAAATTCGTCCGTCTGTCTGACGATCTTAACTGGGGCTTATGTTTGGGGTGGGGCTTATATTATGAGCATCCTGAAAAATCACACTAAGGCTTATATTCCAGTTAGGTCTTATTTGGGGGAAAACACGGTAGGAAGGAGTGGAACCAATGCAGAACCCCAAAAGAACACAGGCAGTCCTCAACGTACGACCACAACTGAGCACGCAGGACAGCTGTTAATTGAGTTTTGCTGGTTTTACAACTTTTCTTGCCACTGTTAAGTCAATCACTGCAGCTGTTAAGGTAGTAACCTGGTTGTTAAGTGAATCTGAGTTCCCACACTGATCTGATCACACGACACTGGAACCGTCATAGATATGAGCCAATTGCCAAGCATCCCAATTTCAATTATGTGATCTACGGTCGTGTGGAAAATGGTCCTTTTTTTCCCCAGTGCCGTTGCAACTATGAACAGCCACTACACAAATGGTTATAAGTCAAGAAACACCAAAGAAAAACAACAGTTTTTCCTTCCATCCATGAAAAACCAATTCAAAGGTTGAGATGACTGATTTAATTTAGAAACTTGTGCATAAGCCTGCTTCCAGGAATAGATCATTAGTTTTTTTTGTGATTCTCCAGACCAGAAATCTTCACAAAATAAATGTGGGTGGTTTGATTTGACAAGACTTCCACATCTTTAATACGTACTTCTTCATTCCTGCTCCTGTGGAATTTTTCATTCCAAGTGGAAAGCTCCAGATTGCACTGAGCAATCTGTGGCAGGATGTAGCTTTCCCATGCCACCGAAATGTTCAAAGGCCAACTTTTTTTTAACCGTTTTTTCTATCGTGTCACCACCACATCCTCTGTGGCTTGGAAAAGAGGAAAAATGAGAATTTTTCTTCCCTTACCAACCCCTAAAAGACTGTCCATCCCAGTTGTAGGACATGACTCTATTCAAACTGCACTTGGATATTTTGAGTACTTCCAACTTGCACTTTTCATATAAAAGCCACAGGTAATCTTGCTGAAATGCCAATTGCTTTAACAGGCGTCTGCAAAAAGATCCTCATACATTCTACCCACCACAGACGTAAAAGTCAAAAAAGAACACCTTAAAATAAGTCACAATAAATTTGTCTAAAATAAGGGATGGGGGAACCAATGTAATAATCAGCCACTTTTGGATATGAGTAATTTATAAGAATAAAGTTTAGGGAATGCCAATCATTCATCTCTCTTAAAGACTCTAGAAGAGATGACAATTTAAAAGAGAATAAAAGATAGTGCTGAAAGTATTAAACTTACAGATAATATAAATAATGTACCATGAGGAATCCAATAGAATAGAATAAAATAGAATGGAATGAAACAGAATATCTTTATTGTCAGTGTGGAACTCACAATGAAATTAAGTGCTGTCCACAGTGCACACTACACACAAGTAAAAACCACAAATAAGAACATACATTATACACACACATCCTTCACATTCTATTCACCACTGCGCTGCCCCTAATATTGCACTTCAATGTTGCACTATACCAGAGGTAGGCAACCTTGGCTCTTTTATGACTCGTGGACTTCAACTCCCAGAATTCCTGAGCCAGCCAATGCTGGCTCAGGAATTCTGGGAGTTGAAGTCCACGAGTCATAAAAGAGCCAAGGTTGCCTACCCCGGCACTATACAGTGGTATTTAATATGGTTACACCTCTGGGATTAAAAACTATTTTTCAGCCTATTTGTGTTTTTTTTTATTATCCTGTACTGTCTGCTAGATGGTAATAGTTAAAAAAAAAAAGAATATTTGGGATGAGATGAATACACATTGTCAATGTACATTCAGATAGGTAATCATAACATATCCAACAAAGATAACTGGAAACATAAAAATAACCTATTTTAACAATGTTAAATCTTTACTAAGATTGTTTGCTGTACCCATGTGAAGTGTCAGAAGGCCTCAGTCTCTGGAGAAGTCTATACAATGTTGGGAATGGTGGAAGGAAAGAGAAGAGGGTGACCAACAGTGAGGTGGAGGGACTCCGTTACTAGTGGCCCTGTTGGAAGTCCTAAAGGAACTAGTTGAAGACAGATTGTCTTGGAGAATCTGTCTTTGAGAAGATCTATCTATGTGGTTCCTAAGAGACAATAGTGGAAAATAATCAATGAATCAATATGAAGACCCTGGAGAAGGTGATACGAACATTGATCCATATAGTTGCTAAGAGGTGACAGTGACTTGACGGCACATAATCAATCAGCGTCAAGACCATCCCTTTGAGAAGTCCACAATTTTGACAAAGGTAGTAGGAAAATGAAGAAGAGACTGACCAGCAGCAAATGGACTGAGTTGTGGTGATGGGGGCACTGTAAGAGGTTGGTCACAGTGGACTTTCACTTTGGAAAAAAAAATCTACCTTTGTGGTCACCAAGAGTCAACTATGACTTCGTACTTGATGGCACATAATCAAGGGTAACAGTATATAAGAGCAGGCAGTGGTGGTGGTGGGGGCACCATTAGGAGACCTGAAGGACCTGGTTGGGGACAGTTCATCTTAGAGAAAATCAAATTCATCTGGTTGCTAAAAGGCGACACTGACTTGATGGCGAATCAATCAATCAATGTCAGGACCAAGTTCCTTTGAGAAGAAGCAACGGACGGAAACCAATCAAGGAGAGAAGCAACCTAGAACTAAGGAGAAACTTCCTGACAGTTAGAACAATTAACCAGTGGAACAACCTGCCTCCAGAAGCGGTGAATGCTCCAACACTGGATGTTTTTAAGAAGAGACTGGACAGCNTGATGGCGAATCAATCAATCAATGTCAGGACCAAGTTCCTTTGAGAAGAAGCAACGGACGGAAACCAATCAAGGAGAGAAGCAACCTAGAACTAAGGAGAAACTTCCTGACAGTTAGAACAATTAACCAGTGGAACAACCTGCCTCCAGAAGCGGTGAATGCTCCAACACTGGATGTTTTTAAGAAGAGACTGGACAGCATTTTGTCTGAAATGGTATAGGGTTTCCTGCCTGAGCAGGGGGTTGGACAAGATGACCTCCAAGGTCCCTTCCAACTTTATTATTATTATTAATTATTATTACGTGATGCTGGGAAAAGTGGAAGGGAAGAGAAGAAGAAAAGGATGACCAAGGTGGACAATCCTAGTGGACAATCACCTAAATAGGAGCCAGCCGTGTGCTGCAGCTGCCAAAAAGGCCAACACAGTGCTAGGCTGCATTAACAGAGGGATAGAATCAAGATCACGTGAAGTGTTAATACCACTTTACAATGCCTTGGTAAGGCCACACTTGGAATACGGCATCCAGTTTTGGTCACCGCGATGTAAAAAAGATGTTGAGACTCTAGAAAGAGTACAGAGAAGAGCAACAAAGAAGATCAGGGGACTGGAGGCTAAAGCATATAAGGAACGGCTGCTGGAATTGGGGATGTCTAGTTTAATGAAGAAAAGGACGAGGGGGGACATGATAGCAGCGTTCCAGTATCTCAGGGGCTGCCCCAAAGAAGAGGGAGTCAAGCTATTCTCCAAAGCCCCTGAAGGCAGGACAAGAAGCAACGGATGGAAACTCATCAAGGAGAGAAACAACCTGGAACTAAGGAGAAACTTCCTGACAGTTAGAACAATTAACCAGTGGAACAACCTGCCTCCAGAAGCTGTGAATGCTCCAACACTGGAAGTTTTTAAGAAGAGACTGGACAGCCATTTGTCCGAAATGGTAGGGTTTCCTGCCTGAGCAGGGGGTTGGAGTAGATGACCTTCAAGGTCTCTTCCAACTTTACTACTACTACTACTACTACTACTACTACTACTACTACTACTACTACTACTACTACTACTACTACTATTATTATTATTATTATTATTACTATTATCATGGTGGATGGACTCAAGTTACAGTGGTGGTGAGGGCACCATCGGAAGACCTGAAGGACCTGGTGGGAGACAGATCATGCTGGAGAAAAATCTATAGATGTGTCACCAAAAGTCAACTGTGATTTGATGGCACAGATAATCAATCAATCAATCAATCAAAATATAGAGCTTGTGCTAAAAAAGAGGTGAGAATCCATCTGGGGGGGGGGAAAACCCAGTCTGACACCCAAGCAGGGACCCCCCACTTTTTAAAAACCGTGCCCATAAGTCCCCTTTTTTTTTTTGCAGCGCCGCTGTAACGTCGAACGGCCACTAAACGAACGGTTGTAAGTCGAGGACTACCTGCCCGTCCCAGAAGGGACCTAGCCAAGAGTTCAGCCCCCCTCCCGTGTCTTAACAGCCCCCCAACAGTCCCCCCAGTAGACCCTCGGGCCACCCCTGTGAGGAGGGGGCGGCTTACACGCCTCCCCGAGACCCCCGTCCCTCCCCCGACCTCCCCCTCAGGGCCCGAGGGCCGGCGCCCCGCTCACCAGAGCCCTCGAGGCCGCCATCTTGGATCCACGTGTCGGCGCCGACGTCGCCGGAAGTGGCTTGCGATTGGCCGAGGCCGCCGGTCGCCATGGTGACGGCGTTTGAAAGGCCCAAGCCCGATCTGGCTTGGTCCTCAGACCCTTCCTCGTCCCCACCACGCCCGGGAAAGTCCGGGCTAGCAGCTGCAGCCCTCGGGGGGAAAGGACGGAGAGGGGTTTGGGAAAAAGAAGCGTTGGGCCTTTTCCGCGTCTTTTTTGCCCTTCTCGCCATCTTGGTTGCTGGCGGAGTGGGGCTTTTTCCGCCATTTTTGGTGCGGGCCAGTTCACGGTGGCGGCGGCGGCGGCGGCGGCGCCATTTCTACCGCGGGCAAGGTAGCAAGGCGCCATCTTCATGCATGGAGGTGGAGAGCGGGCGCCATCTTTTTTAAGGGCAGTGCTGGAAACCGCCCTCCCCAGGAGGTTTTTAAAGGACTTTTCACAGGAGAAAATTGGGGGGGCTATCAAGAGCCAATATTGGCTTAATGGTAGACAATCATCAGAATCAAGCTTTAAGGGGCATCTTCTCCAGTACAGATGTATTTTTTCCATGCCCGTGGTGCCCTTTTGGATGAAACGACTTTTAAGTGGCTGCTGCGGTCGTTAAGCAAGCGCTGTGGTCGTTAAACGAGCCAATTCTGCAAGTTGAAATTGCCGACGTTGGGGACCCCTCATTTAATGTATGAACTCGGCCACTGTGGCTTATCAGTTATTTAGTGCTTCATGTTACGACTTTTTTGCCACAGTTGTTAAGTAATAATAATAATACAGTTGGAAGGGACCTTGGAGGTCATCTAGTCCAACCCCCTTCTCAGGCAGGAAACCCTATACCATTTCAGACAAATGGCTGTCCAGTCTCTTCTTAAAAACTTCCAGTGTTGGAGCATTCACCGCTTCTGGAGGCAGGTTGTTCCCCTGGTTAATTGTTCTAACTGTCAGGAAATTTCTCCTTAGTTCTAGGTTGCTTTTCTCTTTGGTTAGTTTCCATCCGTTGCTTCTCGTCCTGCCTTCAGGAGCCTTGGAGAATAGCTTGACTCCCTCTTCTTTGGGGCAGCCCCTGAGATACTGGATCATTACTATCATGTCCCCCCTCGTCCTTCTCTTCGTTAAACTAGACCTACCCAATTCCTGCAACTGTTCTTTGTATGTTTTAGCCTCCAGTCCCCTGATCATCTTTGTTGCTCTTCTCTGTACTCTTTCTAGAGTCTCAACATCTTTTTTACATCGTGGTGACCAAAACTGGATGCAGTATTCCAAGTGTGGCCTTACTAAGGCGTTGTAAAGTGGTATTAACCCTTCACCTGATCTTGATTCTATCTCTCTGTTAATGCAGCCCAGCACTGTGTTGGCCTTTTTGGCAGCTGCAGCACACAGCTGGATCATATTTAAGTGATCTGGACTCCCAGATCCCTCTCACAGTTACTACTGTTGAGCAAGGTACCCCCTACACCAGTGGTGGCGAACTTATGGCACTGGTGCCAGAGGCGGCACTCAGAGCCCTCTCTGTGGGCGCGCGCGCTGGCACCCCAGTCCTAGGCCTTCAGCTGGGTTTTATAAAACCTTTTCGCTTTAGGCCTCCGTCACCGTGTGCAAAAAAAAAAAGGTTCAATCAATCAGTCAATTTCAACTTCTTGTGGGAAAAAAAAAGATCTTGCAAAGTTAGAATTGATTGATTGAACTTTTAGTCCCATCCAGTCTGCTGTTACCATTGCAGCTACGCCTTCCCAATGGGCCACACCCACCCAATTGGCCACACCCAGCCAATGGGCGACACCCGCCCGGCACCCAAAGATGCATAAGTGGGTTTTTGGTTGCAGTTTGGGCACTCTGTCTCTAAAAGGTTTGCCATCACTGCCCTACACTATACCTGTACATTTGGTTTTTCTTGCCTAAATGTAGAACCTTACTTTTTTCGCCCTTGAATTTCATTTTGTTAGATAGCGCCCAGTGTTCAAGTCTGTCCAGGTCTTCCTGTATCCTAAGCCTGTCTTTTGGAGTGTTGGCTATTCCTGCCAGCTTGGGGTCGTCTGCAGATTTGATGAGTTCCCCATCTATCCCCTCGTCCAAATCGTTGATGAAGATGTTGAAGAGCACTGGGCCCAGAACAGAGCCCTGGGGCACCCCACTACACACTTCCCTCTATGTAGATGCGGTTCCATTGAGGACCCCACGCTGGGTACAGCCGGTCAGTGATTCATGCGCTCATTAAGCTTCCCTTATTGTTTGTCAGAAGCCGGAGGGAAGGTTACAAATGGTGATCACGTGACCCTGGGACAGTGCAACTGTCACGAGTACATGCCAGTTGCCAAGCATTCGAATTCTGATCAACTGACCATGGGAAAGCTGCAACGACCACGTGAAAAATGCTCATAAGCTGTTGTAACTTTGAATGGTCACTAAATAAATAGCCGTAAGTTGAGGACTACCCATACAGNGGCGAAATCAATCCAGTACATAACTTGGTATAATGTGTGAAGCCAGCTATTTCTCCCAAGATTCAGATGTGATTTCAAGATTTAGCATTTGATATAGATAGCTGCACGTCGATCCTTTGACAGTTTTGTCCCTGGGCAAAAAAGGAAGAGGCGTTTTCTTACTGAAGACAGAAATAAAAATAAGGGAGATATTTGGAGTAGAAAAATGGTTCTCATGGAAAATAAGGAGTTATTGAAGAAAAAAAATGGTACTCTTTGGTGGTTTGGAAAAGCACCAAGCAAAAACAGAATTAATCTTCAGGCATATCAGCAAATCATTAGAAATCAATCTGTAGGCAAGAGTAATATAACAACGGAAGCGATGTTAATACAGGTAGAATAGAGTAGAGTAGAGTAGAGTAGAGTAGAGTAGAATAGAATAGAATAGAATAGAATAGAATAGAATAGAATAGAATAGAATAGAATAGAAAATGGAATAGAATAGAATAGAAATGGAATGGAATAGAAAATGGAATAGAATAGAATAGAATAGAATAGAATAGAATAGAATGGAAAGGAATGGAATGGAATAGAGTAGAGTAGAGTAGAGTAGAGTAGAATAGAATAAAATAGAATGCAGAATGCAGAATAGAATAGAATATAGAATGCAGAATAGAATAATAGAATAGAATAGAATGGAGCAGAATGGAATGGAATAGAATATAGAATAGAAAATAGAATAGAATACAATAGAATAGAATATCCCAAAGGTGTTTTTTCATGAGTCAACTGGACTTTCTTCTCCAACAGAATAGAATAGATAACAGAATAGAATATAGTATAGAATAGAATAGAAAATAGAATACAGTACAATAGAATACAGTAGATAGCAGAACAGAATAGATAACAAAACAGACTAACAGAGCAGAATAGAATAGAATAGAGTAGAATTCTTTATTGGCCAAGTGTGATTGGACACACAAAGAATTTGTCTCCGGTGCATGATCATAATCATAAAATGCCATCATCATAAATCATAAGATACAATACAGTAGTGATAATTGTTGTATCTTATACAAAACGATGATAAGATACAACCGTGATAACCAATTCCAAGTAAAAGCCAAGACTACTTTGATTTTTCTTTAAATTTTAATTTTTATTGAAAATAGTTAACTGTTCATTCTGTTAGAATAATTATCATTTATAGCTTACAATGATTTAAAAAGTTGCCATTGTCTCATCGTCATCCCTAATTTGGATCTCTGCAGTGAATCAAACCTTTGTTAAATTTAGGCATATTTCACGTTCATTTTTATTTCACGTTCTTCCACGTTTAGTGGTCTTGCAATGAGAAACTAGCATTAGGAATCAGTTGGCAAAGCTTTTCTAAGGCCACTAATGAATCAAAACATAAACAGGTATTCCTCGACTTACAAGCATTCGTTTAAAGTTGTAACAGTACTGGAAAAAGTGACTCATGACTGATTTTTCACACTTAACAACCGTTGCAGCATTCCCCCGTGCTCACGTGATCAAAATTAAGACGCTTGGCCACTGACTCGTATTTATGACGGAGTTCACAATATATTTATTTCTCTCTCTCTCCCTCCCTCCCTCCTTCTTCCTCTCCCTCTCCCTCTCTCTCTTTTTCCTCTCTCTTTCCTCTCCCTCTCTCCCTTTCTCTTTCCTTTCGCTTTCCTCTCCCCCTTTTTCTCTCTCTTTCCTCTCCCTTTCCTCTCTCCCTCCCTCTCTCTCTCTCTCTCTCTATCATCTCTATTTATCATTTATCTTTCATCTCTATATTCTCTCCCTCTTTTTCCTCTTTCTCTCTCTCCTCTCTCTCCCTCTCTTTCCTCTCCCCCTTTCTCTCTCTCTTTCCTCTTCCTCTCTCTCTTTCTCTTTCTTTCCTCTCCCTCTCTCTATCATCTCTATCTATCATTTATCTTTCATCTCTATATTATCTCTCTCTCTCTCTCTCTCTCTCTCCCTTCCTCATATACACACACACAATTTCTCTCGTACGGACACACGCTTTCTATGACACACACACACACACACCCCAGGAACTTCCACCATAATGCTACGGCTTCGCAACAGCCGTTAGGATAAAATCTCTTCCATTTTTTGAAGCGGTTTCTGCTGACTGCAGTCTGATTCGTTTGCAGCAAAGAGCAAAGAGATTGCTTAATTCAGTTCCTAACCCAACTGGGCTTGCGAACCAGTCCATGAGTCACATTTGCAGGTAGGAAAAAAGTCTCTGGCCTCTAAACCACAGATTCTCCACGCCGAAAACTTCCACTTCCCTGGCCTCATGGGACAGCAGGCACGCTGGCAACGCCGGGTGGCCACGCGTCCTTCTTTCTAAGGCTGTTGTTGGTACTGCTTTTCCGTGCCGGTGAAAAAGTCCTCCAGGATGCTCTGGATGTACTCAAAGGTGGGCCGATCCTCCGGTTTCTCCTTCCAACATCTCATCATGATCTCGTAGAGCTCCTGCGGGCAGCCCTGGGGACGTGGCATCCGGTAGCCACGTTCGAGGGCGCGCATCACTTCCAGGTTTGTCCTCCCTGA